TATGTAAACAATTGTACTGCATTTCTTAGGGAATGGCAAAAGTCTGTGTGTTTAGTATAATTTAATAAGGGTTGTACAGGGCTCAGAGGTTGAGAGCACTGTGCTCTTCCAGAGGACCGAGTTTGATTCCCAGCTCCCATACAGTGCTCAAAACCCTTTTTAAACTCCAGTTTCAGGGGATCTGACCTCCTCATCTGTCCTCTGCAGATACCAGGCATGCACATGGTTCACAGACACACATGCAGGCAAAATGCCCATACACGTAGATAAACAAATTAAAAAAATTATTTTCAGGGGCTGGAGAGACAGCTCAACAGTTAAAGGTGCTTGATGCTCTTCCAGAGGACCTGGGTCTGGCTCCCGGCACCCGTGTTTGGGGGCTTACAACCATCTGTAACTCCGGACCCAATGCCTTCTACTCTCTCTCTCTCTCTCTCTCTCTCTCTCTCTCTCTCTCTCTCTCTCTCTCCCTCATCCACATGTACAGGAATCAAAATTCAATTCACAGTTGTGGGAGCCCACAGCAGATAAGAAGGGAGGGTTCTCACTGTGTTATTTTGTATTATTTGCTGTAAATACACAGACCAGGTGAAACAACAGAAGTTTATTTCTCACTTTCTGGAGACAGGGAAAGCACGGGCGGAGGCCGGGAAGAGTCTGTGGTGAGGGCTCTTTTCCAGGTCATAGTTGGCCACCTTCTCTTGTCTCGGGGAACTCTTCCCTTGGTGGGGGGAGTTGCATGTTTGCGCACATAGGGTGGGAAGGAAAGATGGAGAGAGGCCGTGGTCCAGAGCCATCTTCTATAAAGCACAAAACCCAGGGATGTGGACTTTGAGTCGTCTCCTAAAAACTCCACCTTACCATAGCTGCCTCATGAAAACGGCATGGGGATCACGTCGGAGGGCTGGATGTCAGCGCAGTCTGGGTGGGGTTCAGTCCTGGGCATTCATGGACGCTTTGTATTTTTTCTTCAGTTTTTATTCCATATGGGTCAGGGTTACACTGGGTGGTTCATACACATTTAATATCCTTATAATCTTCATGTTGTGACCTTTTGTCATTTTGTAATGTGATTCTGTCTTGTAATTGGTTCTGAAGTCTACCTTAGGAGCTACTTCCTTTATATGAATATTTTCTCTACCTTTAGGGTGTTTGTTTTTCGAGACATGGTTTCTTGGTATAATCTTGGCTGTCCTAGAACTTGCTTTGTAGACCAGGCTGGCCTTAAACTCAGAGATCCACCTGCCCGTACCTCCTGAGTGCTGGGATTAAAGACATGCACCACCACAGGACAGCGACCTTTAGGATTATTTATTGTGTAGGTATATGTGTAGGCGCACACGTGGTTTCTTGTGAAGAAAGGTCAAAGGACAACTTGTAACAGTCCATTCTCTCCTGGCATTTGGGTTCCAGGGATTGAACCCAGATTGTCAGTCTTGGCGGCAAGAACTTTTATCCCCTGACCCTCCTTAAGTAGCCCCCTCTTTTTACCTTGCCTCAAATGCTACTTGATATGAGTTCCTTGGGGACATATGGTAGATCCTATGCCCATCCTAACCTAACCCAGGCCTTGTGCATGCACTCAGGCAAGGGCCTTTCTATCCAAATGCACTCCTAGCCTTGGCTCACAGTGTCTTTGAAAAGGTTGTTTGTTTAATGTAGTGTTTGCCTCACTTAAGTGTGCCATGTGTATGCAGTGCCCAAGGACTCCAGAAGAGGGTGTTGGGTCCCCAAGAGCTGGAGTTTAGTTGGCTGTGAGCTGCCCTGTGGGTGCTGGGAACCGAACCTGGGTTTCTGCAAGAACAGCCAGTGTTCTTAACCATTGAGCCATCTCTCCAGCCTCTCTGGATCATATTTTAAAATAGCTGCTCCGCTGATCCTGTAATCCCCTTCTTAGCTGTTTCAAAACAGTGTCAGTATATTGTTGTGTGTATTTTGAATTTAAGACTTCTTCAAGCTGGTCTCAAACTTGATGTGTAGTCTCAACTGGCCTTAAATTCCTGAGCCTTGTGTGGGGATTACAGGTGTGTGCTACCACATCTGGCTCATCAGTCTTCTAATTGGTATTTGAAAACAATTTACATTTAATATTATTATGGTTGGATATGAAGCATTTCCCAAAAGGTTCTTGTGTCGAAGGCTTGGACCACAGTTTGGGGATTTGATCAAGTTATCTGGAGGTTGACTAAATCATGAGGGGTATGACCTAACCACTGATTACCCCACAGAGTGGTTCATGATTTGATGGTTTTGCTGGGAGGGATTGGGATTTCTGCAGGTGAGGCCTGTGGCTGTAGGAAGCAGGCAACTGGACCAGACCTTCTCCTTGGCCCTTTCCTGGCCCCACAAAGCAAGCAGCCCTGCTGAAGCACAGGCTTCCACCTGCTCAGTCCCCCCCCCTCCCCAGACCCCGGAGCAGTGGAGCCCACAGCCAGCACAGCAGGATTTCTTTGTCAGAACACAGATGCTAGGCAGGAAAGTGACCATTAGGGAGGAGGTCTGCTGTTGTTTTTCTAGTGATTGGATTTTCCTTTTCCCCCCCTGCCTCTCAGAGTTATCTGACTTTTGAGATGGGGTCTTGGTGTTGCACAGGCTAGCCTTGAATTTGTGATCCAAGTGCTGGATTACAAGCACTCACTGCCACACTCTGCACTCACATTGTTAAACACTCTGATTTTATCCATAGGGTCTTTCCGTAGCTTTTTAAAAAAGTAGTTTTGAATTTGTATATAACTTGTCACAGTCATCTTCTACCAGTTCAAGTAGCAGAAACTTTGCCTCCCAGTATTCCCTGCTCTGTACCTGCATCACTACCTCCTTGGTGAGACAGTGGACCTGGTAGAGGTGCTTGGCACTAAGCCTGGCAGCCTGAGGTCAATTTCTGGTGACGAAGTTCCTGTTTCTTTTCACCCCCAAATGCCCTTATTCTTGTTCATTCCTGAAGAATACTGACGTCTTAAACGAGGTAGGATTGTTGCGGAATATTTGTTTAACTTTGCAAAGGTGTGTTGCATTTGTTTAACTCTGTAAAGATGTGTTGCTGTTTTACCCCTGCCTCCTAAGGCACCTGACCGGTCTAACAAAAAGCTGAAGGGCCAGTAGTGAGGGAGGAGGTGTAGGTGGGACTTCTGGGCAGGGAGGGTAAGGAGGAGGAGGAGGAGGAATTTAGGCTGGGGATGAAAGAAAAAGAGACGCCAGGGGCCAGACAGACAGACACGGAGGAAGCAGCAAAGTAGGACTTGCAGCATGAAGGAAAGGTAAAAAGCCCCAGGTAACATGTAGTTAACCAGAAACAGTTAAGTTAAAAGAGCTAGTGGGACAAGCCTAAGCTAAGGCTGGGCATTCTAAGTCTCTGTGTCTTTATTTGGAAGCTGGTTGGCTAACTGCATAGGATTCTGATTTGTCCACTCCTCCCATCCAGTCTTCTTTTGAGGTGTAGGGCCTTACTCTACTCCAGAAACATACTGGAACTCACGACACAACCCAGAGTAACCTCTGCTCACCCATAGCAACCTCCTGCCTCAGCTTGGGGACACATGTGCCACCATGTGCAGCTGTGTGGACTGAAGACAAGTCCCATGTCATTCAAACTGCTTTTCTTGTGGCGGCAGTGCACACCTTTAATCCCAGCACTGGGAGGCAGAAGCAGGCAGACCTCTGAGTTTGAGGCTAGCCTGGGCTACAGAGTGAGTTCCAGGACAGAGAAACCCTGTCTCAAACACCCCCTCCCCCCAAATGATCTTTCCTTCAGAAATCTGACTGTGCCATACTAGTTAGTATCTTGGCAAGGATTTTTGTGGGCTTATCCATTTTCAGGTTTGCTCAGCTATCTGCAGGCTTCTGTCTCTTGCCAAAATTGGGATTAAGGCATTTATTTATTAAGCAGTAATTTTCCTTTTTGAAACAGTCCACCAGGTAGTCTGGCTGGCCCACTCATGACCATCCTGCCCTCGCCTCCTGAAAGCCGGGGCCGTAGGCTTGAGGCACCACACAGGACTGACAAGGGTTTTCCTTCTGGAATTTGGACTTGTTAATATTATTGAAAGCTGTTAAGCTGCTGCTGTTTCCACCGCCCTGCTAGCAAAGGGATGGCATGGCTTCCTTGCAGCCATGTTGGGCAGAAATCCAGATCCCTCAGAAGTCCTTTGGCCTCAGCCAACACCTGAGGTGTGTGCTCCTCACTGCTGGGCGGGAGCACTCCCCAGTCCTCAGGAAGAGCCTGCTGCTGCTGGGGCATCGCACAGGCTCGAGTGGACAGCCAGGCTCCCCTCTGGCAACTGGCTAAAGCAGAGCACAGGCTAGCACTGTCTTCCTTTTGAGGCTGCCTCTCCCCTGGTGCTCATCTAGAAGGCTTTTGCTTGCCTTTTTTCCTGTCCAGTGGGTGTCTCCATTGTTAATTTATCCCTGGTTTAAATTGTACTAGAAAAGGGAAGCAGATGTTCCCTGTTACTTGTGACAACTATTATCAAGCCATCCTTTGTTTCATGTGGTACAAACATTAATTCCAGTTGTTGCTTTTTATGAATGGTTGTGCTCTGCTATGCAGAGATGTTTGGCTTTATATACAGCTGAGCACATGAAAATGAATCCAGAGTTTTACAGCATGCTTGAAAGGGCTTTTCACAGCAAGACCCTGCGGCAGAGGCTCTGGGCTTGTCCAGCACGGACCTGTGGCCCAGCCAGGCAGCTGGGGTGGAACGGTTCTTTCAGCTTTAGAGAGACCCTCAGTGGACATCTGTGGGTGAGCCTGGCCCAAGGTGGCTCATCTGTGGCCTGCATCCCTTCTCTGTTCAGTCCTGTCCCTAGGATCCTGCTTCAGACAGGGTTGACTGTTAGGGCTACCTTGGCATCTACCTGCTGAAGACTACGAGTCAGAATTCCAAACCGTTATCCATGCCAAGCAGAGGACACGTGTCCCTGACCTGCAGTGGCATCTAGCCTGTGTCCACACACAACCCCAGAAGAGAAGCTTTCGGATTCAGAGACTCCCAAGCTAAGGCTGGTTTCCAGGCTCTCCTTTATTAGCTCAGTCTGTCCTAAGCTGTCCAGCCACGACAATTACAACCGAGCTGGAAGACCAGGATATGCACACGCTGTAGTGAGGTCAGTCTATGCTGCTGCACAGGTTGGTTACGTTTGGTACCACAAGGTGTTTATAATTCAAACAAAATCAGACAGATTAACAATTTTATGTACAGTAAAACAAAAGGGAAGTCATTCAAGTATCAAAATATGGAAACAAAGATTAAATAACATTTTTCTCATAGTCCAGTCCCACCGTCCGCCATGAGCAACAACTCCCGTGACCTGCAGTATAGGCCCAGGCCCCTCACGAGCTGACTGTGAATCATCTTGACGATTGCAGCCAGGCCTTCCGAGTGCTCAAACCCGAGGCTTCCCGAGAACTCCCTAACAGGCAACCTCAGGGGCAGAGCCCAGAGTCCCCCGCTGGGATGCAGAGCCTGCTGGTGGGGGCCTCCTGCTCAGGGCAGCCTGCGGCCACGGCGCTGAGGACACTGGGCACGTTTTACCACCCTCGTCGGGACGGCTCCTCCACAGCCAGGCACAGCCTTGGTTTTGTCAGAGGACACGACCCTTCCACTTGGCACCTGTCCTGAAGCGGGGAGACCCGCCCCGAGGAGTAGAAGAGGGGTTTCTTGAATGTCCCCAAACCAATCTTGCAACGAGACCCAGAGCAGCCAAGCCAAAGACTTTCTGGTAGAAACACCCTGAATAAATAAGACGTAGCAGCGTCAAGGGAAGAAGTGCCTGCCTGTGGTTTTAGAACAAAATGCAGCTTGAACTTCTCGTAGTGTCTACAGTGTCCCCAGGCTTCGCAGCCACCACCGAGCTCACCGCTGGGAGCAGGGAGGGGTTCAGCACAACCGGTCCACGAACCAAGGGGAGCTTTCAAGGGCTGAGAGCGCGAGGCAGGGAAAGGAAGTACTTCCGCCAGTACCGAGCAGTGGAGGAGCACTGGCTTCCTCCCAGAGAGGAGCTGTACCTCAGCACAGAGCAGACAGAAAGCCCCAGGTCTAGCAGAGGTCAGCCCTGCTTCCCACTGACCAGCCACAAGGTGAAGGTGCCCAGGAGCACTCCACACACACGCCCAGGAGCACTCCACACACACGCCCAGGAGCACTCTACACACATGCCCAGGAGCACTCTACACACATGCCCAGGAGCACTACACACACACACACACACACACACACACACACACACACACACACACACACACACCCAGGAACACTCCACACACACACCCAGGAGCACTCCACACACACGCCCAGGACTGCAGTTCACAGACCGCTCAAGCCTGGCCCACTGTCCCCAGGACCAGAATGAGCTGCCAGGAAAGCCTGAGGCCTGCTACTGTCCCCATGGGCTCAGTGCGTCTCTTCCATTTTGCTCTCTACTCCAGAAACCCTGGGGAGTGGCCGGCCTGACTTGGTCCCTTTTGCCTAGCACTCTGCTCCTCATTGTTCCTTAAGCCCAGGACAAGGACTACCACCCAAGTCACTTTAAAAAGTAAAGCAAGCTGCAGAAGAGGTTAAGGAGCACCAGCCTGTCCTTAAGACCATAGTGGGCAAGCCTTTTCCACATCTGGAACAGATGTGTCCAGCACAGAGGATACAACAGTCAAAAAGTACTAGCGTGAGGTGGGACAGACAAATCCCCAGCTGGCAAGCTGCAGTCTTAGCTGACATTCCCATTAATGCTCCAAACAAAGTCCCTTCTCCCTTCTGACCTGGCTGCCGCAGCCTGTCAGCAACATGGGTCAGCTGCCTCGGGCAGTGCTAACGTGCACAGGGGAGTACCAAGGAGTTCCCCACACCAGAAACTACTTGCTCATCCCCACTTGGGACCCCAGAAACTTCTGCTCTGGCCCAAGTGCCATCGGCCCAGCTCTAAAGCAGCTGGGGACCAAAGACTGAAGTCTCAACTCTGGCCAAGCCACTGCCAGGCCGAGACCCCATCCTGAAGGCAGGGGCTGTACAGGCGAGGCTTCTGCTGGTCTTCCTCTGTCTTCCTGACTGGCAGCTTCACCCAGAAGCTGGAGCCAAGTGTTAAAATTTTATAAAAAAGATTGCTTTTTCCTATGAAAAACACATGTCCTGGACAGGCCACTCCTGGGCCACCCAAAGTTATGGTCCCCTCGGCTAGATGCCTGGTGTCTTCTCTGCCTCCATGGCTGGGTTTGTCCTGCAGGTGGTGGCAGGCCCAGGCCAAGCAGCGGAAAGGAGGTCCCGCGGCGGGGCTGGGCCTGGGTCTTCAGCGCTGCAGGTGAGGCTCTCGGCGGCGCCGGGGCACAGGAACCTGTGCCCCCCACCTCCGCGTTTCCACAGCACAGTGTGGCTGGCTCCTCAGTGGCTCAGCTTGGCAGAAGCAAACAACGGGGGAGGAAAGAGTTAACCAAAGAGCCTGCGCAAAGTGGAGGAAACGGGAAGGACAGAGCAGAACAAAAGGTCCCTGCCTCCCCTGCACGCCCTCCACAGCCCACAGCCCACGCTGCTCCTGGCCCATCTGCTCAGGAAGGCACAGGAGAGGCAGGCCGCGCGGTGGGCCGGCCCTGCCGGACAGCTCGGGTGCTGACTGCCCCTCTTGCACTGTCCTACACTGCTGGCTCCACGGCCACAGCCACCAGATCTTCTGTCCCCTGCCATCTAGACTGGTCTTCCCACGCCAGGACATGTGGGGCTGTCTCCAAGACCCAGCTCCGTGACGCTAGCTGCTGGGGACGGCTGGATGACGGCTGCCTCAGGTCCCCACCACCGTAGGGAGGGTGAGAACGTTGCCAGACACCAGAGAAGCTGCTCGGTCTCCGCCCTGTGCGCGGGCAGCTCCACTTGGAGAAGGAAGAAGGCGCACTTGTGTGCAGGGCGCACCTCGGTGAGCTGGACTCCGGAACCAGGCCCACAGCACAGATGGGGGCCAGGCACACACAGGCCCCTCAGGAGCCCACTGTTTGGATGTGCAGGGCATGGCTGGTACCAACCTTGGCCCTTACAGAAAGTCTGTCCCTGGTGAAGCCACATCACGGGGCCTGACCAGGTGAGGAAGCAGCACCTGAGGGCGGCTGTGTGCAGGACATCCCGGCACCGGGTAGTCACAGTGCTGGGGGCTCAGGAAAGGTGAAAACTGGTAGCTTTTGGCATCCAGCTGTGACCCAGGAGAGGACAGGAGAGGAGAGCAACCTCGGAGGGGGCTAGTGGGGTCCCGCTAGAAGCTACCCCCGCCCCTCGCCTCACAGTGCCTGTTGTAGACTTTGGGGGCCTCAGAGCCCCTCTGGTGCCCCCTTCAAAGGCAAGTCACCCCCCAGCTGTCCTCAGCCCAAGGGAGGATTCACAGTGTTGGGTGGTGTGAGCAGGAGCTGTGTGTGGAGGAGTGTCTGAGCTGCTGCCGGGAGAGCAGGGCCCACGGAGGTGGGGCCTGGTGGCGCAGCTGGAAGGAGAGTTGAGACAGCAGAAGGGTCGGGTGGTAAAGGCACAGTGGGGTGGTGGAGACAGGGTGGCTTTAGAAGATAGTGGTCTCATACTTGGTGCTGAGGCTCCGCTTAGAGTCTGGCTTTGGGTCCACAATCCAGGAAACACTAGCGTGGGATGGGGCCTCCTGGTCCGAATCAGGCGGTTCCAGCTGCCAAACAAGGAGACAGCGTTAGGACTCAGAGTGGCCTCGCCAAGCAGGACCCAGCACACCTGCCCCTCCTTGAAGGTGAAGGGGTGGACACCTCCAGGAACTCTTGGGGACTACTCAGAGGATCCTTGCCCCCCTGGAGTTCACACTCGGAGCTCCAGTCGCGTGGGCAGGAAGGGGACGCCCTCTAGTGGGCAGAGAGCTCAGCCTGAGGACGGGCACTGCACTCCTCCAGGCCTTTGCAGAAGACGACGAGGACACAGGGCAGAGACACAGGGCAGAGCACACAGGGAGGGAAAGAGTGTCACACAGGCCTAGCGCGAGGCCGCCGGGACAGGAGACAGCTCACGGGCACCGCAGGGCCTGACACACAGAGAGCGGGCGGGCGGGAGGCGGAAAGACCTTGACTCCAGGACTAACAGACGGCAGCGGAAGGTAGGAAGGACGGTGGGTGGTGCAGGTGTGACAGTGACAACAGCGAGTGTCGGGGGGCGTCGGCACCTGGGGCGCAGAGCAAAGCAGACAGACGGCGGGTGTCACGGGGCTGGCCGCGGCGGCCATCTTGCCCTGGGCTGGGCCTGACAGGGGAAGACAGCTCCCTCTCCTGCCCCAGGATCCCAGGGCTGCAGGGGAGGGAGCCAAAGTTCAGGGCTGCTCTCTGGGGCAACTGCCAAGCAGTGAGAAGACACTCGGTGCGCCCAGCTCCACCCGGGCCCTGGGGTGCCTTGTGGGTGGGGGAGGGCACATACCGCAGACTTCCTCACGCCGACCCGAGGCTTAGGCACCGGTTTGGAAGATTTTGTCTCAATCATCGCAGCTGCAGAGGCCCCCATGGTCCTGGACTTCTGGGCCTGGAGGGCCAGCTGATAGGCTACCTCAAATGCCTGCCCCAGGGTCAGGATGATCTCATAGGTGAGGTTCTGGGAAGAAGCAGAGTGTGCCCCCTGAGCAGCAGCGCAGAATCCTGCAGACCCCACACTCCTCACAGGGAGTGGGAAACTTTCTCTTTTCGAAAACAGAAATTTAAGCCCGGCAGTGGTGACACACCCCTTCAATCCTAGTACCCAGAGGCAGGCAGAGCTCTGTGAGTTCGAGGCCAGCCTGGTCTACAGAGTGAGTTCCAGGACAGCCAGAGCAGCACAGAGAAACCCTGTCTTGAAAAACCAACCCCCACTAAATTTGTTTCGAAGTGGTTTCAAGTGAGGCATTTTAACACATTTAGTTCCCTTAGGCTTCAAACACTAGGTGACTGCCAAACCAGCTAAACCACTCACATCCCAAGAGGAGACACCTGCAGCCCATCCCTAGCATCTCAGGGACCGTGTCCTCTCCAAGGCTTCTCTGGCTTGCCAGCTAGCCATGGTCTCTTCCCAAGGTGGAGCGCCAGTAACCGGAGGTGCATAAGTGTGGAGCGTGCCCTCAACCCACGGGCCTAGACACCCATGCTCCACTGGACTGTGCGTTATCCAGCAGTGGGTTAGGAGCAGGTGTGCCTCCATGAGCACAGGTGAGGGAGGAGCTAACACCACGTCATCTTCAGTACAGCCCAGGAGGGGAACAGGGAACATTTCTAGATCACCGAGCTACCAGAGGTAAAACTGGGCAGAGAGCTGGACGCAGGAGACTTCCTGCGGGGTGAGCAGGAGAAAGGAAGGAGAATCAAGGTCAGAGTGTACTGCTACCAGCAGCTGGGGGAGCTGGGGCAGCCGGCTGACAAGGACCTGTCCCTCCCAGGAAACGTGTAGCTACCAAACAAAGGTGTCACTGACAGCCGGGCCTAGGGTGCTTCTCTCTGAGCTGCCCTCACGGCTGTGAGAAAGACTGCACTGCATGCCGCCGGCTTCATTCATAGCCAGCCCCCTGCCGGCTAGGGCTAGGCCAGCACCAGTGCCCATCGATGATGGGCCCTCCATGGCCACCGTCACTTCTGCCTTCTCGGACAGAGCCGGCTGCTGTCACGGGGACACTCACCACGTCCACGGTGCTGAAAACGTGGCAGTAGTGGTGGCCGGTCTGCAGGTCCTTGGTGATGTAGGCAAATGTACACAGGTCCTCCGGGTCCTGTGCAGCGCAAGAAATGTTCCGGATCTCATGCTCAGCAATGACATTCTGCCAGGAAAAACGTGTTCTGGAACTCACAGTCCCCGGGCACGCCTCTAGGATTGCCGCCCTAGCCTTCTACTAGCCTGGAACTCCACACCCCCCTCTTTCCTCACTCCTGACCATGGCCAACCGGCAGCAAAAGGTTCCCAGTGCATGCTCCACCTATCCCTACAGGAGGGCAGAGAGCGCTCTCAGGAGGTGGATCCCGGAGCAGTCGGTGGTTCACTGAAGGAACCACCAAGGCCAGGCTGAGGACGAGAGAAGCAGCTGTCACTACAGCTGAGACAAACTGGATTCCGGGACGAGGACCAGCAAACCGGAAGGAAGAGTCCTGGGAACCTGACAGTGAGGTGGCTCTGCCCACTGCTGCCCTTTGGACAGGAAGTGCTTCAAAGACTCATGTACTGGATACGTGTTCCCCAGCTTTTGGCAATGTTCTAGAAGGTGCTGGAAACTAAGAGGCGGGCACAGGACGTGGATTAGTGAGAACATGCTGTGGAAAGTTACACCTGCCTGGGCCCCCCACTGTTTCCTGTCCACCGTGAGCAAGCTTCCACTTCTGAAACCATGAGGCACACAGCCTCTGTGCTCTGCCGGTCACGGCCGTGAAAAGGTGACATGGAAGTGAGGCCATCGCAGGGCCTAACCTGCCTACGCGGGCCTCACACCTCTGCGGAGATGTCTGTGGAGGAATCTGGAAGCGCGGGACAGACAGAGTGGGAGCTACTGTGCTCATGAGGGTCTGGTGGGAGAGGCATCTCCCGGGGACTCGCGTTACACTGTGATAAAGAACTTGGCTGCGTTCTGTCCCTGCCCCGGACTGAAGGTGACAGCTGGTGAGCCCAGGGGAGGAGGTCGCAGGGATGCACTGGGGGGGACTACGGCTCCTGGCTGTTCCAGTCAGGCTTACAGGGAGAACCAGGAACAACAACCAAGGCAGAAAGGTGAGAAAGACATGAAGTTTGGTCAGAAAAACCTGATGAAGCTGGGCCAAGGACAAAATGGTTTCTGAAGAGAGCAGCAGCATAAAAAAGGAGTCAAATATTTGCATTAGAGTGATAGGAAAATGACTCTGGAGACAGCTGGGCAGTGGGCAGAGCCTGCCCCAACAAACTCAAGACCCTGGAAGAGAACTCTTGTAGAGTGCTCTGCCTGTGCAGGGCCACCTAGAAAGGTGTTTCCCTGGAATTCATTTGACCATGCTCAGCCCTGTGGAATATTCCTTTACACTGTGTGAATATATGTCACAGTGATTGGTTTAATAAAGAAGCTGACTGGCCAACAACTGAACAGGATAAGGTTAGGCGGGAGAGCCAAACTGAGAATGCTGGGAGGAAAAAGGGCAGAGTTGGAGGAGTCTGAGAGAAGCAAGATAGGCATGTTGCACTGAGAAAAGGTACCAACCACATGGCAAAGCATAGATAAGAAATATGGGTTAATTTAAATCTCAGAGTTAGCTAGTAACAAGCCTAGGCAATTGGCCAAGCATTTATAATTAATATTAAGCCCCTGTGTGTTTATTTGGGAGCTGCTGGTGGGACAGAAACTTCTGCCTACACGCCACAGCCATGGTCTAAGGGCCCAGCCTCTTCTTTAGTGGATGGCAGACCCTGGCATCACCTATGTGATGCTAGTTTTGCTGGCATGAAGAATGCAAAAGGGTCCTGGAGGCTTGCACTCCAATTTCAAAGGAAGGCCTGGGGTCAGGGGGTGTGTGGCAGCATCAGGAGCCCCGTGGGAAGTTTGAGAAGCTGTAAAGGGAGAGCAGTAGAGAGACTGGAGGTACCACTAATGTGATGTTTCCAGAGAACAGCTGGGAGCAGTGACCGGAGCCAGCTGAGACTAAAGAGAGGCAAGGGCCGAAACAGCAGGGCTTCCCAAGCCCCTGGCCTCACAGTCCCACACCATATGCCCAGATGCCAGACATGGAGCCATGGGCATCGTTGACCTTGCTGGGCTCTGTTTGCTTTGGTCTGATCTTTCTTTGCTATTAATTTCTCCCTTTTAGTGGGAAAATTTTTATTCTGTGCTATTTGTTACCTTGTGAGCATGTAATTTGTTTTCTGATTTTTACTATTTTAAAATTTTATTTATAAAATACTTATTTTATGTGTATGGAGTTTTGCCTGCATGTATGTCTGTGTACCACATGTGTGCCTGATGCTTGTGGAGGCCAGAAGAGGGTATCAGATTTCCCTAGAAGTGGAATTACAAATGGTTTTGTGCCACCATGTGGATATTAAAATTGAACCTGGGACCTCTGGGAGAGTAGTCAATGCTCTTACCCACTTAGCATCTCTCCAGCTCTGGTTTCTGATTTCTTAAATTTTTTATTTTATGTGCAATAGTGTTTTTTGCCATGGGTATCAAGTCGCCTGGAACTGGAGTTACAGACAGTTGTGAGCTGCCATGTGGGTGCTGGGAATTGAACCCGGGTCCTCTGGAAGAGCAGTCAATGCTCTTAACCGCTGAGCCATCTTTCCAGCCCCTGGTCTCTGATTTTTATAGGGGCCCACAGTTAACAGTTTGCTTTGAAGCTGGGCATGGTGGAACATGCTTTTAATCCCAGAACTTGGGAGGCAGAGGCAGGCAGATTTCTGAGGCCAGCCTGGCCTTTACAGTGAGTTCCAGGACAGCCAAGACTACAGAGTAAGACACCGTCTAAAAAAAAAAAAAATTGCTTTGAATCTCTGAGGAGACTTTGAACTTGTACTTGTGAAAAGTGCTAGAAGTGTAAGGACTTGGAGGACGCTTGGACATGGACTAGATGCATCTGTATTATTAGATGGTCATGAGCCGTTTGGGGCCAGGGGCAGAATATTATAGTTAAGAAATGAGGTGTCCCCCAAAAGGATCATGTATTGAAGGCTGGTCTTGGCTGGTAAGTGCTATTTTGGGAGGTGCTCGAGGCTCGAGGCTCGAGGCTTGTCCCTGGCCTTCCCTGTCTCTGCTTCTTGAGCACCAGGAGATGAGCAGCCTCTACCATGTGTGTGCCCTCCCCCGGCTGGTGCACTGTCGCATCACAGGCCCAGAAACACGGAGGAGGGTGACCCCGGACCAGCCCATCTGAACCCTAGGCTGTTTCCTCTCAGGTGTCTGGTCCCAGGGACAGACACTCCTGCCAGCAGTCCTCACCAGAGCGTACCTTGTTGGAAGCGTCAATGAACTTGACCCCTTTGTATGTGATGGACAGGATGATGGTGGGGACCTTCTTCATGTGCTCGGTAGATTTCTGTAAGAAAAATGGAGTGGGCTGAGAGTGCCTTCTCTGATTTCACAGCCCTCCCCAGCCCTCTGTGGCATGGCCCGGGTGGTTGTGACTGGCATTCCCACTTGCTATTCTAGGCGGCACCTCCCACCTCCCCACATTTTTCCCTTTCCATTTTCATGTCGTGTATATGGTTGTTTTGCCTGCGTACATGCCAGCACACCACATGCCTGCCTGATGCCCATGGAGGCAAGAAGAGGGCATTGGATTCTCCTGGAACTGGAGTTACAGACAGTTGTGAGCTGCCATGTGGGTACTGAGAATTGAACCTGGGTCCTTGGGAAGGGCAGACAGTGCTCTTAACTGCTGAACTGTCTGTCTCTCCAACTCCTTACCCGCATTTTGGCACAGGCATCTTGTGTGGATTCTGTCCCTCGAAGATCTTTGATCAGCATAGAGCCCAGATACTGTGGGGATGGGCAGGGGATGGGTTTAGGAACATCTGTGCTGTCGCATAGGTTGACCGAGCCAATGTGGACCCCTCTGCTATTAGAGGGTCACCTTTCCCAACACACTCTTTTCTCCTGCCCCTTCCCTGTCTTATTCTCAGGCTAGTGTCCCTCCCCTTAGCACAGCAGAGGTTGGCCTGTAGGTCCTGGGTCCAGCCTTGTCAACAGTCTGAGGGCCTGAAGAGGCCTGGGAAGGAAGGGAGGGCGGTGGCCATCTCAGAAGGGCGGGAGTCACTCACATTGGCCTCATAACCACAGGATTCAAAGATGAGTTTTTCCGGCTGGTGCTGCCAGCTCTGTACAGGAGCATAGGGAGCAGCCAGGCTGGGTGGACGGAGGGTCAGCTTGGTCTCACCGGGCTCCTCCTGCAGAACACACACAGCCGGACACTGTTCACCTGCTCCAGAGAGCTCACACACTCACTGTCTGGCTCTGGCACGCCCACGAGTGGGGAAGCCCGTGAACTCAGCAAGGGCCGGAGTCAGGTGCAGTGGACAAACAGGCACCTGAGCAGCACTGGGGCCAAGGGACGCGCTCCCGGGACAAGTACAGCCAGAAGAGCTGTGGCGCCGAGACAGGAGCATGCACAGCACCGTGTGTGGGAGACACAAGACACAAGGCTAAAGCTGTGCAACTGAGTCCTTGGCTTCCTCAGGTCCTGGGCAAAGGATGCCTTTTTAAATGGACCCTCTGCTGGCAACTGGGTGGTAGGAGGCCACCACAGCTGAGGAGAGTCAATGTGGGGATGGAGGCACAGGCTTCTGCTTCCACCATGTGCAGTCTCCACAGAGGACTGAACACTGGGCAGTGTTCTTCAAGTCTGTAAAATTCTCAGCTGTGCAGTGGGAAGGAGAGGGGCTGGGGAAGGGACAGGGAGACAGCTAGTGACCTGGAGTGTGTGCAGGGTGTCAGAGCAGGTGGCAGTGAGGCATCAGCTCTCCCAGAGGGGAAGGGACACCTGCCAGTCTGGGGTCCAGAAGGCTACTTGCAGCAAGGGGCAGAGCCAGGGCCTGGCAAGGCAGGAGGACAGCGAGACAAGCACTGGACATAGGAATAAGAGGGTCAGGGCTCTAAGGCTGAGCCCGGAATGCAAGCCTGCACCAGCCTTGTCCTGGTGAAGCATGAAAACAGGTAGCTGTGCCCACAAGTCTAAGAGCCGCAGCAGAGCGCATCGTGACCTGGGTCATGGTTCTGCAGGGCGGAGGGGACAGGAGGGCAAGGAGCTTTCAGTACAGAAGGAAGTTCTGGGGACCGAGAGGGGTGAGGGCATGGGATGGCCACGGGGACGAGCAAGGGCCTGCAGGAAGACCACGCCACAGGAGAGGCCCAGATCTAAAGATGGGAGGAAGTGGAGGTCTTGGATGGTGCTCTCCTCAAGGCTCCTGGAGGTCGAGGGCTTCACCTAGCCCTGGGCAGGGGTGAAGGAGGCAGGCAGCGCCGCCCCCGACGGTGATGGCAGCCGACAGGCGGCCCCTGCGGCTGACGCCCCTGCTCACCTGCCCTCGGAAGCGCTCTGCCCGAGAGGCGGCCCCGGGGTCGTACGGGCTGTCGTGACGCCTCCTGCTCGTGTCAGCCGAGGGCAGCAGCAGGTCTGCCGACCGCCCTGTACAGGAATCGTTCTGGCTCAGCGGGGACGATGTCTGGGAGATTAAATCCTGGCACTGTTGGGCAAGAAACAAGGGTGAGATTCCCAGGCTGTCCTGAGGCTACCTAGGGTACGTATGCAGCTGAGGGGTGAAGAGCAAGGAGGCGCACAAGTGGCCAGAAGCGGTGGACAGAGGCCACTAGGCCTTGCCCGGTCCAAGGAAGGACCAAGTCTCCCAGAGGCCCAGGAGCCCCCAGAACCCCACCCTGCAGAGGTCCCCACAAGCCTGTGCTGCAGAGGAACGGGCGCGAGGGCAGAAGCCATGTTCGCATTTGTCAACAGTGAAATCGCCTGCCACACGCCACCCCGGGCAAAGCAGAGCCCTTTCTCAGGAAGAGCCTCAGAGCAGCGGGTGTTCCAGCGGAAACGTGGGCTCCACAGCCCTGAGAGCGGAGGCACGTGTGCTCCGGCCCTGCCTGGCCTGCTCCAGTGTCACCATGGAGGAAAGCAGCAGCTTCATGAGGTTGCAGCCCAGCACAGAGCCACGTGTGGCCCAGCACAGAGCCACGTGTGGCCCAGCACAGTGGAAGAGCCTCTCCCGACCAGCAGCTCTAAGCTGTTCGCCAGGCCTGCCTGTCTGAGTAGCCTCAGCTCCGAGGTTTTAAGGTGCAGGACTCTACTCTGCCCCAGGACCTGTGGCTCTGAGGCAGGCACCGGGGAGGCCCACTGTCTGTCTGGTCGGGGATTCCCAGCACCGGCTCGGACACACTGAGGCACTGGAAGGGTCTCCTCGGTAACTAGGTTCGGAGCTGAGCCTAAGCCCTAGATGTGGTCCCAGCCTGGAGCTGCTCCATTAGCTCCTCTCTACAGTGAGAGTGGTCCTTCATGAGCAGCCACCTCAGCATCCTGGGATTCAGACAGGAGGCTGTCACACTTGCAAAGGACAGAAGCCACTCTCCTGTGCGTGAGTCCAGCAGGAGAGGGCAGGGCTGCTGTCTGCTATCCCGAGCCATGTTGTTACCAACACAAAAAGCACTTGAGGACCTTTCCCCTCCTTGAACTCACTCTTAGCTGGGAAAACCTTGGGGGCTTCTGGGGTGGCTCCTCATAGGGCCTTTCTGCAAGAGAGGCAATGATGCGCTTCCGGTGGCCCAGCAGGTGGACCTTCAGGACCTGGCGGGGAAGCAGAGGGGCGGTGAGTGGCACTGGGTCCTCGGCCCCCGGCCCTAGCCTCCCGCAACGCACTCACGTTGACAAGCTCCAGCTCCCAGAGGTTCTTCACAGTGTCGATGGAGCTGTAGCCGCTGGACAGGAAGGAGTGGACATAGTCCTGCAGCCCCAGGGAGTCCAGCCAGGAGGGCACTGACGGGGGGCTGGCCCCGTCACAGCCCAGGGCCTTCACCTGCAGTAGGAGGAGGCAGGAGGGCATCGCTGAGTCACAGAGCAAGAACCTGGGGACCCGGGCCTACCCGAGCCCATCCCCTGGCACAGTCCATCACGATCCTGAGAGGTAGAGGCTGCTGGATCTGGGGAAGAGGGGCCAGTAGGTGTGGCAAGATGGAGAAGAGGGGGCGACAGAATGCTTCTCTGTGAGCTCTAAGAGGTCACAAGCTTGTGAGGACAAGGACATAGTGTGTGCTTATGAAGCAGTCACTGCCTGAACTCGGGGTGGGTGAAAGGATCAATGGAACGCTGGCCATAGCACTAACAGTCAAGGGGTGGACACCGGCTACAGTACTAACAGTCAGTGGGTGGACACCGGCTACAGTACTAACAGTCAGTGGGTGGACACCGGCTACAGTACTAACAGTCAGTGGGTGGACACCGGCTACAGCACTAACAGTCAAGGGGTGGACACCGGCTACAGCACTAACAGTCAGTGGGTGGCGGCTGTGACCTTAGAGAGGCCAGTGCTGCCTCTCATGTCTGCTCTTCTCAGGCCTCTCTGGGGTTAAGATGGACTAGCCTGGGCTCTAATGAGTCAAAAGAGACCCCAAAGGGGGCTCTAGTGACAGGCCAAGCCTATGGGACCAGGCTCTAAGCCAAGAGGACGCCAAATCCCCCTGGGTCAGTCAGGACTCCTGAAGTCCTGCTACTCTCCACGGGCCTGTGGGCTTTACAAGGAAGGAACCAAGACCCGGTGCCCGGTGCCCTCCTGGGCTCTTATGAGGGCAGACATGGGATGAGATTTGCATGCCTCAGAGCCAGGCTCCTTTCCTGCTCTCTGTCTAGATCAGTGGTTCTCAACTTTCCTCATGCTGCGACCCTTTAATACAGTTCCTGTGTTGTGATCACCCCAACCATAACATTATTTTGTTGCTACTTTATAGCTGTTCTTTTGCTACTGTTGTGAACTGTAGTGTAAATATCTGATATACAGGATATTTGATATGTGACCCCTGTGAAAGGACCATTTGATCCCCTGGGGTTAACTCATGTTGAGAACCACTGGTCTAGGCATTCAAGAAGATGGCCTGGCCCTGGCCTGGGAGGAGTCACCTTGGGCAGGGAGCGTGCAGCCTGCAGCAGCTTCCGCCGGTGCTGTGGGTCACTGATGCCAATCTCCCTCAGGTCTTGCTCTTCCATCACATTAGACCCCTGAGATAGAGAAGAAAACGTTAGGTCCTTCCTACACGGAAGCCTGGTGTCCTGTCAAGGCCGCCTGCCAGCACAAGCGGTAAGCAAACCTGTCCAGACCGCCCATCCCCAGAGTGCCTGGAGCTGCCCAGGCCAGGCCAGGCCAGGGCTGCACTCCGGTCCCCACAGACACACCTGTGTCAGCATGGTTAAGCGTGAGTGGACAAAGGCTGACAGACGGGGGTCAGAACTCCTGAACGGACAGAGCTCCCTGCTGCAGGGGGGCCCAAGCCAAGCCTTTCTCAGCATATTCTCACTGACCCCCCTACAGAGGAGCAGTCGGGGTGCAGCAGCTGCAGGGCCAGCACTGCTCGGCCCTGAGTCTGACAGGGACAGGGGACAGCTGGCGGGCCACGTGCCTGCTTCCTAAGTACTGCCTTGCATGCTCTGTCCAACCTCGCAGCACGATGATGCCAGCGCCTCTGTTAATCTTGGTCGTGCAAGGTGAGAAAACAGAGGCTCCTGGCCATCAGAACTTTCCAGAACTTACATATCCAGGGGCAGAGCTTGGAGCTGACCTCACACAGTGTGACTCCACCCCTGTAGCCCACGAGGTTGTCCCCCACTGTCACAGCCATGAGAACTGTTGGTATATTGTTTTGGTTTTTTGAGACAGGTTTCTCTCACTGTGTGGTTCTGGCCTCGAACTCACAGAGACAGCCCTGCCTCTGCTCCCGAGTGCTGGGACATAAGGTGTGCGCCACCACATCCAGCTGTGAGAGTGTAAATGTTATGGAGTCAAAGCTCATCTGAACCCTGATCTTTCTTCTTCCGTCTCCCTGTGAAGGGCTAATAGGTGTGCAACCCCACGCCAGGATTTCAGGTGCTGGAGCCTGGGGCCAGAGCCTTGTGCATGACAGGCGAGCACTCTGCTCACTGACCCACCCCCCAGCTCTGAGTAAAGTTTAAAAAGAAATTCATGAGTTTTCCTGCCCTTCTGGAGTCAACTGTCCTGGAACTCGCTCTGTAGAACAGGCTGACCTCGAACTCACAGAGATCCGCCTGCCTCTGCCTCCCGAGTGCTGGGATTAAAGGTGTGCTCCACCAGCGCCTTTAAATCTCTCCTTAATGCTTCCAATTAGCCAGGACAGGCCACCAGTGCAGGTGCCTTTCTTTGAAGCCAATGGAGTCCCGGGTGGGGGCACGCTCACTCCCAGTGCCTGGAGGAAGAATGCCCAGGTCCAGCTTATTCACAAATGGTCCCACCGGCATCCCCAGGCGTCAGGCCCCGCTAGGCCGGGGCTGCAGGAGGGCACTGCTTGCTTGAGGGGTCGTGTATTTAAGACCGACAGATGTTTGTCGTATCAGTGCTGGGTTCCCCACACTGACAGAGGCGTTGTGCAATGGCCGACCTTGGCCCCGTTCCAGGGACACCATTCTCAGTAAAATGAGGGCTCTGTGTCCCCGGCGGCGAGGCCATCCGTCATCTTCTCATTTTGTTTGGGCATCCATGCAGGGGTCCCTGCGTCATGTCCTTCAGGCTTTGCACACACAAACCTTGGTTCCAGGAGCGCTCTCCCAGTCTCTCTCTTTCCCTGTTTGGCTTTGTGTGTGCTCTCCAGGGAGGAAAGAGACCTCTTCTCTGAGCAGGCCAGTTCAGCTACCTCTCCTTGGCTACAGGACACACCCCTTGCCCAACACACACAGAGCCTGGGGTCAGCTTCTAGGTCACCCCACGCCCAGACATCGCCACACTGTGTCTGCAGTTGCTCTGGGTAGCTGTCCCCCGACTGCTCCTTCCAGTGTCCTTGTTGGCTTTGTGGAAGCACTCTTGAGAGCAATCGGCCCCGTGGAGCATCTCGCATGTCGGCTTGGGATCCCTCTCGGGTTGTTCTTTAGCACTGACACTCTTTTGTGCATAGTGACGTCCTAGGGTCAGCTTTCCTCCCTTCCAGGCAGAAGCTGTCTGTTTCTTTAGCTAGCTTTACCCGGGACCTGGAATTATGCCTGTGGGTCTCCTTCGGGGCCACTTTCTGGATTCTATCTAGAAAGGTGGGTATTTCTACTCCCGCTTTGCACTTGGACATGTTAAGTAGCATGGGGCAGCGAATGCGGACCATGACCTGGTGGCCCACCTCTGCCTCCTCAGCACTGGATGTGGGACAAATATCCCACAGAGCACACCAGCAGCCTAGGCTTGAGAGCTCTGTGCTAGGCTCTGCGGCTTCTGGGCTGCAGAATGCACCCTCTGCCTACCATGCAAAGTTGACACACAGCCGCCACCACTTCTGGAGTCTGCTGATGGGTAAGGCCACACACCCAGACTGTCCTTCTGTTGATGCCTAAACAAGGACCTGAGTTGAACCAACACGAACTTCCAGACGCGTGGCCCAAGAGCCACTTCTACCATGCCCACTGGCTGGAAGATCCATTTACTCCTTCTACCAGCTCTAATGCCAGGCAGGTTCCATGTGAATCAGACCCTAGTCCAGGGTCAGGAGCTGTAGAGCTGAGAAAGATGAGTGGAACAAATGAAGGATATGATGGGAAATATGGACACATGGCTCCCAGAGCAGTTCCTGCTGTGTCCCTTTCCTCTCCCTGGGACCTTGGCGTATGAGCCTGCAGGTCAGCTGCCCTGGGAAGGAGACATGTTTGTATGTTCAGTGGATCTTGCTGCCCCAGGAGGCCCTCCCCTGACTCGGCTTCCATCTCTAGATTACCTACAAAGCCCAGCAGGATGCAATGCCCCCAAGTTGTTACTGCGTTGTTTTGTGTTTGCATTGTAACACCAGACACTCTTGACCAAGGCTGGATCCACTGCTGTTGGACAGAGAGGGCTGACTGCATTTTATAGAACTATCTGTGCTGAACACTCCGACTTTCTTCTCTTTAGTCCCTAAACAATACAGTGTAACAACTGGTGGTCCAGTGAGTTCTGGGAGCAGGGAGCTGGGTGAAGGTAATGGAGGGCTTCCCAGGGAAATAGGGCCCAGCGGGCAAGGTTGGACAGGCAGAGGGCAGAGGAACCAGGATTAGACCAAGTATGAGGTTGTCTGTCAATGCTGGAGGTCTTGGCCCTCTGTTCTCCTGACATCCTCTGAGCCTAGTGGGGAGCCATGCAACCCTCACGTGCCTTCACAATGGGGTAAAAGACACATTTCAGAGACCAAGGCAGCCAGGCCACTTGCCTAGGTAAACTAGTTCTTGACCGTGAGCCTGTTCCTGCTAGCCAGGCTGAGAGGCCTGTGGAGGGGCAGACTGCCAGGGTGGTGGTGGTGAGGCTGCAGGGGTGGGTACAGGGGGTAGTGCAGACCTCATTTAGAAAGACCGGAGCACGGGGTGGGGTGGTGGTGGTGGCACAAGCCTTTAAGGAGGCAGAGCCAGGCAGATCTCTGTGAGTTCGAGGCCAGCCTAGTCTACAGTGTGAGATCCAGGACAGGCACCAAAACTACACAGAGAAACCCTGTCTCGAAACAAAACAAAACAAAACCCAACAAACCAAAAAACAAACAAAAAAAAAAAAGAAAGAAAGAAAGAAATAAAGAAAGAAAGAAAGAAAGAAAGAAAGAAAGAAAGAAAGAAAGAAAGATCGGAGCTTTCCAGGCTTAGGGTTTCCAGGGGAGTCCAGCTGAGGGGAGGGAGCTCCCCAGGGCTTGCACACAGCAGGCAGGAAGTCTGGCTTCCACCATTTCCTTGAATCCAAAGGAGGCACAGTCCTGGGCTCTGCCAGGTGCCACATAGGCAGCACCCCAGCAATCAGGTCCTGGACTACAACAATGTGACCTCCCTGATGCCCCTCCCTTCTGGGGGTGTAAGGAGCAACATCTGAGGGAAGGAATATTCTAGGCAGGAGAGGGGCAGAAGGGAAGGTGCTCCAACCTGGACAAAAGACAGCTGCAGTGCTTTCCAGCCTTTGGGCCAGGGTCGACTGCAGGATGTAAATGACACCCGGGAGCAGGTTACTCATCCCTCCCATTAGTGGGCTGAGCTGTGTTCCCAGGACTGGGTGTCCCGCTCATTCGAGAGCCCTAACAGAAAGACCAGAGCGGAGCTCCTCCCCTCTGCCACCTCTGTCGCTGGGTGTGGTTTGTGTTCACAGAGTCCTGCCTTCTCTACATTAGGAAAATGTTTTCCTCAGTAGAAAACTTACACAGTTTATCCCAGGACATTTTGAAAGTGAAGGGGGCACAAAGAACCGTGAAGGCCACTCGTTTATCCACCCCTGGGTAGGGGACACCGGCATTTCTCTTCTCCTCTGTTTTTTGCTCCAGTGAGTCAATTTTTGTTGTTGTTTTTGAGACAGGATCTTACTATGTTTCTGAGGTTGGCCCGAAGTCACTATGTAGATCGGGCTGAGCAGGAACTCACAGAAATGCACCTGTTTCTGCCTCCAGAGTGCTAGGATTAAAGGTGCGCACCACCACTGCCTGGCTTTAGCCACCTTTCAATAGTGCACACAATCCTGCTGCCCCCTTGAGGAGAGGACTGTGGACGTGCTGGGGCACAGTGCTGGGGCACAGGCCGTGGGTGCTCCCCCCTCTGACCTGCTCTCCCAGGCAGGTTCTTGATGTCCCTGTCCTTTTGATCTGGCAGAGGCGCTGGTTCTGTCCCCACATCTGCAGTATAGTACAGCCTGAGTCAGTCACTCGAGAGTTGATTGGTTTCAAAGCCACGTGTGTCTGCGGGCACTGGCAGGCAAGAGCAGCTCATCCCTGCAGATGCCACTGCTGCCTGCTCCGCTCCAGGGGAAGGCATGCACCACCCAATTGCCCCCAGCCCCACGCAGCAACAGCTGCTCTCCAGGTGTGGTGGTAATGGCATGCTCTCTTCGGAGCTTATGCGAATGCATGGGACCATGAAGGACATTGGTAAACAACATCTAGAGATGGGAAGGATCTAGAGAATACATTGTCTTCACTTAAGCTCTTTGCCACCAAGCAGAGCTGTAAGTTTTCTCCTGAGCTTTCCCTGTCTACATCATGGTGACCACAACCTGGCCTTCCCATGCAGGTGTCATGAACACACGCCACCACAGGCCAGGCTGCAGAGCACAGAGAAGACAGAATCTCTTCAATTCTCTCATCAACCTTTTAGAGGGTGAGTGGGTAGAACTTGGATCCAGAGTACCCCTAAGGCTCTCAAGCTTGATCAAGGGGCACCTGAGGAGTTTAACTCTCAGGGACAAGACTGATGTAGCCCAGAAAGGAGGACACGGGCCTCTCTGAGAACCCTCCTGTCTATGCCTCATCTCCACCAATCCTCCTGCTTCGGCCCTGTGTCAAGAGGACGGAGAAAATCCCGGCCCAGCAGGTGGCTCACAAAGTGCCGTGCAGAGACAGGAGGCTTGGGGGGAAGCCGGATGCTGCGCAGCCTCTGGGCAGCTCTGCTCAAGGTGGCTGTGGTCCTTAGACCAGCAACAGACAGAGGTGAAAGGGAGGGAGGGGCACAGGGGCCAGGGCAGGAGATCCAAGACTGCAGCCCATGGGTCAAACAGAGCGGCTTATGGGACTGAAGGAGAACAGCCTGGGGAACAGGATGGGGACTTTTGGAGCCTGGGGATTTGGTCTGACGGAGGCTAATAAAGAAGGCTCCTGGCCTAAGGGTGCTGAAAGTCAAACACTTGTCAGCCTTCTCCAATAGGAGGCCCAACAACCTCAGAAACAGACAGAAACAGCCCTGTGGGAGCCCAGCGGCCCTATAGCAGAAATCCAGAGGAGAAAGAACTTGATGGGCAGAGCTGGAGGCCTCCCAGCTGCGCCTAAGAAGCAACTTCCTTCCCATTCATCTGTTCCTGAGCTATTTGCAGCCACTCAGCCCTCCCCCCTCCCGGCTGTCCTGATACCACCTTCAACCAACCTCTGCCGGCCACGGTGGACATGGACTCATGGCTTCTGCCTGGTGGGAGCCATAGGACAAAGGCCCTCAACACAGGGCTCAGAGACATCAGGGCGCCTCACATGGCTTCAGGACTCCGGCTCACCCTCCGGCCTCACCAGGCCCTGCTCTCAAGCTAACTTGGCTATCGGTCTCTGGCCCATCACCTGCTCTTCCTCTCTGGACTTGGTTAACACAGTCCAAGTTTGGAGCTGGTGTCTCTGTTGCAACCTTCTCAGCTCTCTGGTCCTCCACTGTCCCACCTGTGATCCTGGGTGATGTTGTTCTGGGTCATGTGTACAGCAGAACATGGTAAACGTGGCTCCTGTAGCATCTAGAGCCTCTACTCAGGCCTTAGCAGGGGGTTGCTCCACCATGCTACTGCTTCCTGAACTGCCTATCTGCAGCTGGACCACAAGGTCCCTTCGACCCACACAGGATCACCATGCTACTGCTTCCTGAAGTGCCTATCTGCAGCTGGACCACAAGGTCCTTTCGACCTACACAGGATCTGCTGGTCCTGCTTCACTTCCATCCGCAGCAGGAGACAGAGAAAATCCATTCTGCCGCCAAGAGAAAACAGAGCTACCAGAGATGGGCACGGGTGTATCCTGGCGCTCCTTACACCTCCCAAGCACAGAGCAACATTTGGGCCATGCATTCCTGTGGGCCACGGCCCCCCAACAGCCCCATATGAGCAAACTTCCCTCTCTCAGATATCCTTTCACTATATGTCTTCACATCTGTCACAACCCTCTGGCCTCAGGGCCACCATCATATGCGCCATCAACACTTCCACAAGACTGTCAGGGAGTAAGTAGCCCAGCATGCTTGGAGGCACAGGTGTGCCAGCCATCAATGACCTCCTTCTGAACTCACTGAGTGCATTTGCTCCTTACTCCCAAGAAAGCCCATTTCCTGTGGACATGGTCTGTGGTGAAGATGAATGGGCTGCAAGGTGTGAGGCAGTGTGGTGGCTGCTGGCTGGAAAGGCAGCCAACTCCCTTGCCTGGTTTCCTGGTGCTAAGGTTGGGCCCCTCATCAGGCCCTATCAGCACAAGAGCTCATGGTAGCTCTCATGGCCTTGGCTTGACCCTTTCTTTCTACCTACAGTCAAGAGGGTGTAGAAGAAGAAGTTCAAGCTACAAGGTTTGCTAGCCCAAATCCATCATCATCACTGTGGGAACAGTCAGGATTAACAGCACCGAACCCAGACAATACAGAACCTTCGAGGCCACCGTGAAGTCTTCAATTGTCTAGAGGGCATAGTGTTCTGTGTGGCCCCAAAGGTGAACCTGGGAGCAGCAGACAGAAGGCATAGGGACTCAATGTAAATATGAGCATTAAAGTAGCCAGAACACTGGGTCCTCTGTCACTGAAAACATCAGGGCAGAGATGATCTGGCATGGTGAAGGCAGATCATCCTGGAATGTGCCTTACTATGCACAGAGCTCCATAATGCTCACAAGTACCCTGACACAGAACTCCACAGTAGCACCTTGACTATGAACATGTGTCCAGATGTTCCCAACAAATCTGGACCTGGGGTTACTGGAGCTAGTTTTCATCTGGTAGAAACATCTCCAGGGAATCTCAGAACCAGGTGAAACATTCACAGTCTACTGTGAACCAACCTGGATGGGCTACACCAGGGCCATGTGCTTAGGGAGTGTTTCGGGAATGGGAACACGCCTCTGCTAAAACTTATTCTTAAGCCCACCTGGCAGTTAACATGCAATTACCCAGGGTGCTGTGCTGGCCACTCAGGCCACTCCAGGCACTTGAAGCAACATACTAAACTCAGGTGTGCTCAGCTCACCTCTGGGTGGAGACTTCTGCAGATGCTCCAGACCAAAGAGGCCCTGGAGGAACCAAGCTGCTGATTACCAGGGTGGATGGAGCGGCTTTCTGGTATAGGTTCTGCACCTTACATGGGCATCTATCTGGTTCAGGGCCATGCTTCCCCAAAAACGTCATCTAGCTGTTTTCTGGTTTGGGTCTCAGGTAGGGTCAGGGAGTCCTGGGGTTGCTCAAGGGCTGGAAAACTGAAAGGCTCCTACACTGAATTTAGGAGACGTGTACTATGATCCGCAGGCTCAGCTCCTGACCGGCACGGGGGAGTGAGTGTCTACAGATCTCGACCACTCTGGTTTGACCCACCAGCAGCATGGGGAAGGGAGGACTTAGAAGGCAAGTCCACAAACCCCACAGCCAGGACCAGCTGTCCTTCCCACTGACGGAACCCACCTCCTTCCTAGTTCACGGTCCTTCCTTCATTAAAGAGCGTGGTGAGTCAGAAGTAAGAGCCCAGGAACCATAAACATACCCATTTAGCTTCAGTTTTAGAAAGGAAAAACAAACTGCTATTTTAAAACTGGAGACTTTGAAATACTGAAAAAGCAGCCCGGACCTGGGAAGAGAGGGCGGCTTGCTGCAGGCTTCCCAGGAGACAGGGGTGACTTGGTTAAGGCGCTCTCCATCGGTCTTTCCTGAAGCCCCTGAAGACACCAAACCCTGTGCTGACAGAGGAAACCCAGCCATCCACCAAGACGGAGGGTCGGCTGGGACCCTGTACCCGCTCTATAAACCCGGCCCTCACACGAGGCGCAGGGCAGGTGTGCACCAGTGAGAGTGCTCTGCTTCAAGGGGACATGGGAAGCCCCCAGGAAATGGGAGGAACAGGGCAGGTAAGTTTGCTCCCTTACCAAGATGTGCAGCAGACAGATGGTTCTGCCACACCCCAGAATGAGAGGTGGTGACAGTGTTCAGAGAGTGACTTCTTGCCTTGTAACTGCCAAGCACACATTTTCATTTGGCCACTCACCAGCAGTGTGGCCCTGATAAAGACACTTGACCTCTGCACCACACTGGGCATGCGGGAAACAGCTGAAGACGCCAGCACACCCCTCATGGTGCTGGGAGGTCACACAGTGACTGCTGTGACGTCACAGGCCTGCTCCTGTGCATGCCTCGGCTCAGGCACTGTCTTGAATGACCCACGAGGAAGGACACACTGGGCAAGGCTTCTGGGAGGCAGATGACGTGGGACATTCGCTTCTAAGCCCGGGGGCTAAGCTGAGTTCCCACTCCCCAGAGAGCAGAGGAGAGGCCCTGGTCATTCCGTTGACCCCTTGTATTCTGAGTGCAGACTGAACCTCCGAAAAGCAACCAAGCTGGCACCGAGCCTTTCCCTGACCGTCTGGGGCCCTGGCCTCCATCTCACTTGCAGGGGTGAGACAGGAACCTTTGCTTCAGTGACGACAGCAAAGGTCTGAAAATAAGGAAACTCCTGGTATCCAGCTGAGATGGGACATGGAGTCCCCATGGGGTACCTGACTGTCCCTGCCTGCCAAAGCTGCCGGGGACTGGCTCCACATGCTGGCCAAGATGCCTCAACACACAGCACCCCAGCATCCAGCCTAAGAAGCAGGGCTGGGGCAAGGGTCTGAGTCAAGGGTCCTTCTGAAGAGTGCTCCACCTGAACAGCAGCTGGGACAGAGATAGTGGGGCCAGGAATGTCTGCAAAGTTGGCATCTGGCACTCGGCGACTTCCTAGCACATTCCCTCTGTTAGCTCTTCCCTGGGGTTCGGGATTACATGCCCTTTCCAACTCCAGCTGAGCCCGTGTGGCCAGGGAGGCCAGTTTCCCACCAGCAGCACCAGCGCTGGCCGCTGAAGTGGCCTGCGAGCACTCACCAGGAAGCGGACATCGTCAAAGCCATTCAGCAGCAACCTGCTCTCGTACTGCTGCAGGCCCATCGACTCCAGCCACTCCCCGACGCTCTGCTCCAGCGTCCGAGAACCTGACGAGAGAGGAATCGGCAGACGCTTGAAAAGGGACAACCCATTAAGGCGGTAGCAGCGGCACTCAGAGGAAGACAGATGGCACTGCCACATCATAGTCATCACCATAACGCAGCCAGACTACGGACAGGAGCGCGAGAGAGCGGGCAGGACGGGCTGCCTGCCTGGCACGGCACACCGGCTAACTTGGGCGGCTGCTGCCCACTCACACCCCACGGCACGCGCTGTCCCGGACCAGGGCCGAGGCTGCACATGCACCATCTGCCCTAGGGTCGGGGGAGCCGACCCCCAGTGGTCTCTGGGTCCACTCCTCTCATCAGCATCCACACAGAGGCACAGCAGAACGTCTGTCCCCAGAGGCACTGGAGGGGGGCACTAGCTCTCCTAAGTGCCCACCAGCCTGGCTGCTCCTCTCCATGCAACTTGGGGAGCCGCTGTGGGGCTGTGGCGAGGGGCTCGTTCTGCGACCTTGCAGCGTAAACCAGTCAGGAGCGAGCGTGCGTCTTCATGCAGCTGAGGGACACAGGCACCCAGCGAGGGCTCCGGGAAGGAAGCAGCGCGGCAGCTGTCCACGGGGACCCAGCACATGCAATACAAGCAGCCCGGAACACGGCAGGGGAGAGAGGGGACTTTTACTTGTTTTCCCCCAGCAGTCCCGGAACAAGCAAACCATGGCCCCAGCTCTTTGTGCTCCCAGCTCAGGACAGTCAGGGGGCTGAGTGGGACAGATGGGTTGCAGTGTGGGGGTCAGGCTGAGATGTGGCTCTGCTGGGTCAATGGTATGGTCTTCTACCGGGCTGAGTGGCCAGCAGACTTGGGCGCCTCCTGGGCTGAGGCACTGCCCGAGGAGCTGCCTTCCCGGCTTGAGTTGGCTTCCAGGAGTGTGGTGTTCATTCTCACCGTCTTCGGCGGCAGTTCCCGTGACCCGCCCGCCCGCCTGCCTGCCTGCCTGCCTGCTTAGGGGAAAGCGGTCGGGCTGTTCAGTTCTTGGTCAAAGACAAAACCCAAGCAGATAAAAGAAAGAGGCGGCACTTGTCCGTCAGGAGCCGGCAGCTTGTCTATTCACATTCTCTGGCCGAGGGACGCACACGGCTTTCTTCCTGGGGTCTCTGGTCTCACCATCTCTACAGATGCACAGACAAGGGCAGTACTTATTCACTGTCTCAGCAGTCAGGACGGGACGGTGGCAGCAAGGAGGACAGAGTTCAGCCTTTCCCGGCAGCCCTCAGATGTCTTGCTCCGGATGCCGTCACACCCACCTTACTTCTTTAGTTCTTGTAGCAAGAATGGGTGAAAGGGGGGTAAAGAAGGGGAGGGAGAGAGAGGTTCAAGGCAGGAGAAGGAAGAACCAACTACAGAGACATCACCTCCCGGGGACTCTCCTCCACACGGTGAAAGTCATCCTGCCATTTCTGGCAGTCTCTGCCCTTCAAGGCAGGGCAACGCCAATTTGCTTGTCTTAGGGACCCTGCTGACCAACTGTGGCGGCCTCCACTGCTCTCCTGTCCTCCGCAGAACAGACGGTGGGTGGTGACAGGGTGGTCTCTGGATGCAGGCTGTAGAAGTACTCCAAAACGCCAAGTCTGGGGGCTTCCAGGCTTGCCCTTGAATGGAAAGTCGGCTCCAGGAACCTACGCAGCAGGCTCTTGAATGCTCATGAGCTTGTGTGGCCCCGGCTGCTGATTCATTCCTGCGTGTAATCCCAGGGCTGGGCAGCTGTGGTCCAGGCTGCTGCCGGTGGATGTGCACGCTGACAGAGCCGCAGCAGAATGCTTTGTCTAAAGGCTCTGGGGCTCCACACTGCTGGCTGCCGACTGCCGGCACCACAGTCCTTGCTCACTCTCATGTCTGGCCCTCCCCTTCCTCCCCTTCCTCCCCTCCCACCCTTCTCCCTTCATGCTCAGGAAAATACATCAGGGATCGGACATCGGAGCAGAAGCTGCTGCTGCTGCTGCTGCTGCTGCTGCTGCTGCTGCTGCTGAGGGGGAGCCAGAGTGAGATGACAGGTTTCCTGAGACTGATGCTTGGCGATGCAGCCGCAGCCGCTAAGGGGGAGACGGCCGCTTCACCTCAGGCTTGGGGGCAGGAAACCTCTTACAGGGCACCGGAGAATCATGCCTGTAACTTGGGCTGGCAGTTTCGAGGACAGCCAGGGGAAGGGACCAAGGGGCAACGTGGCCCACAGTTAAGTGACCGCCGCTTGCTACTTTAGGACGCAGTCTCCTGCTCAGCACCAAGAGAGAACACGGCTACTACATCTGACGCTCCTTAGACGAGAACCCGGGGCCAGGGGAGAAGCTCACCTAGAGCAGGACACTCAGCAAGGGACAGCCAAGGGGGGACCTGATCAACTGCAAGTGCAGCCGGGGAGGGACAGAGTCACAGATATCCAGGAACCACACATCACCCCGGAAATACGCCGGGGGCACCTGCATCTCAATAGGTCTCTATAGGCACGGTGTCCAGAGACCAGGGGCCCAGAGGGGACACTCAGCAGTTACGCAACAGTGACTGGGGAGTTCAAACAGAGGAAAGCCAGGCTATCCTCGACAGAGTAGGCCTTTGTTCAAAGAATCCAGAGTGGTTAGTGTGACAGACTTCTGGTAGTCGGCAGAGGTGTGAAGCAGTTGTAAGACCTGTCTTTTGGGGATTTGGGTATCTAGCCCCAGTGTGGACAGTCCAGGGGCCCTTGGGTATCCAAATGGGACTGGACTCCAGTGCTGTGTCCTGCCCTTCAGGAGAGAACCCTGTGCAGAATTAGTCCCTCTGAGCAGCCGTCGCTTGGCTTGGGACCTGCTGCTGAAGGCTGTGCCTCGCCCCAAGCTGCCGGGGCCAGGGCCCAGGTATCTCCTCCTTGATTCTTGTGACAGCTGAACCCTGGTACACTGTGATCCTGACCACTCAAAATGCACAATGACTCTGCTTTGGCCTGAGCCAGCCTCTCCAGGCTTCTTAGCCAGGGAGTGGTGCAGACCCCATGCCCTGGGGTTCTCTACATTGCACACATCTTCAACTGTCCTGGGTGTCCCTAAGCTGGGGTGTAGAAGGTGGCTCAGCAAAGGAAACATGCACACAGGACCAGGTGCTGGGGTCAGGACCGCCCGAGCGGAGAGAAGCCCTCTTGCCAATCCCAAGGGTGGGGGAGAGAAGCAGCAGCTCAGTGCAGACTCCTTCAAGGGCAGGGCTCTTCCTAGGAGGCCTGACTGGATCCAGAGGCAGCGGGCTGCTGACTCCGGCCTCTTGGACATGCTGTGGCTTAGGCTCCTGAGGAGGTACAGGAAAGCAGAATGTGGCCACAACTGAGCTCAATGCTCTTGGTCCCAGCTGTGATCATCCCCAAAGCACAGCCTTGAAAGTGGCATGTGGGTTTGTCTGTCCGTCCTAAATACCTATTCCCTACAAACACCTGACCCTTGCAAACGCATGTGCATTCCAGAGGTGCAGGCAACCACTGAGCAGACAGCAAACAGCTGTCTGGAGAAGGGTCCATGGCTTCTCAGCTGGAAAAGCCATCTGTTGACTCCAGCAGCCATCCAAGTCTGACAAGGACCAAGTCCAGCCCAGTCCCTCTACTGGAACCCTGGAACCCGAGAACCGAGGCCTGGAGGGAAGGATGCAAAGCTAAATGCAGAGGGAGCCAAGCCAGGAAGCAGGTGCTCTGCTCCCGGAGTTTATCAGCGTCATAGAAACGGGCACGGCTACTCAAAGCACGGCTTCCATTCACTCAGGTGTGAGTATATTATTAATTCACTCCAATACGACGAGGTAAGTCACTGGGTGGTGCTGCTAGGAACCTGGCACTCAGGTGGGAAGAAATGAATGACTTACTCTGCAGCCTGTATCTAGAACTGGGACTTGAACTCAGGGCAGTGTGGCTCCAGGAGCACAGACTGCCCAGCAAAGCCCACAGTTCCTCTCTCCCATGTGCACAGCACCCTCCTCCATCTTGGGCCACAGGAGCCCAAGACTGGGAAGTGCCACAAGGAAGGCTGCTGGGCCACTGCTGTCGGAGGTACGAACCCCACCCTGGAGAGGTGGCACCCTCATCAGAAAGGGAAGCTGGGATGACATCTTCTCTGAGATGTCATAGTTCTGGGGTCTGAACCAGGACTCCATGAGAGGTGTGAGCACCAGCTCTGAGAGGTACTTTAAGGACATGTCTCCTGAGAAAGAAGCCCAGCATGATGGTCCATTCCACAAAAAAGGAAATCAAGGCAGGCCTTACCCTAACGGCTTATATGAACAGCGTGACCTGTTCTGTAGGGATCTGGGTAACACCAGCAGAGACAGACACCCCTCCAGGAGACTCTGACACACGTTAACAGAGAACATTCATCTAGCCCCACACTGCCACTGTGGTAAACAAGGCATATGAGGGCCATGTTTTCATGACCAGCTGGTGCCAGAGCCTTCTCAGGAACTGGGGAGGGATGTGGCAGTAACTCCAGTTTGGAGCACTGTGATGAAGTCCAACACCACAAGCAGCCTGACAGCTGCTCCCCATTGCAACTCCTTTTCGTAATAAGCAGCCTCAAATTCAATGCATACACTTCCCCCAAAATGCACAGTCATTTCTCCAAAAGTGCAGGCCGTGGCCTGGGCTGGCCCCTTTCTCCTCAGATGTTTGTCTTGGGTCAGAGAAGAACCTGAGGCTGCCAGAGCCAGCGCGAGGCCTGTGTTCTACAAGGTGGGGACTAGTACAGTACCTGAGACCTTTTGCTGTTCCTGAGAAAAGTCAATTCCTTCTCCAATCGAGCTCATGATTTTCTCAATCTGAAACAGAAGAAAGAGGACACAAGAGGGGTCAACTTGGGGTCAGCATTGCCAGCTCAAGGCCAGCACCGCCCGTCTCTTCTCCCAGGGTCTAACTCAGCCCAGGAAGGTATGGGAAGCCGCTCCGCAGGGCTCCGGATAGCAACAGTGTGGGCTGCGGCACAGACGCGACCCCTTTCCTGGACTCGGAAGCCTCACTCCTCAGCCCAGTGGTCTGCACACGTCACTGCTCACGTTAGAACTTAGGTTCCCGGGGAGGACACAGTGCCAGCCTTGCTCTATGTCACGCTCCAAGCACCTAGAGCCATGCCTGGCAGACTGTGAGCACAGTACAGATAGGTAAGTGGTGGCCGTGACTGGCAGCCCTGCGGTGTAGAGGCAGGCAGACCACCTGCACACAGCAAGCTCCCAGAAGCCGGCAGGGAGGCCACGGAGCCCTGGATGGAAACCCTTTTTGCATCTGGGAGGTGGGAAGGAGTTTTGCACTTATTGGGGGAAGAGCCCTTCCTCTGGACCAGAGCAGAGACAGTGAGCCTCAGAGCATCCAATGGCCTCGGCACAGACCCTGGCATGGACCACCTGTCTCAGCACCTGGCTTTGGTTACTGTGGGCTGGAACCAAGTTGCCCCATCTGCCCCTCAGTCCAGTACGCGTGGCCAAGGGTAGGTCCAGACAGCCAGACCAGGATGGCCTGTCCCCCTCCTTGGGCTGCAGTGATAATGAGCTCATTCACAGCTTCTTCCAAAGCCATGAAAAGAGGGACCTTTTGTACCAGGGCTTGGATGCTCTTTCCCCTAAGTGCAAGTAAGGAGCCCGGGCCTGACAATCAGAAAAACAACTCCCCAGCTGGCCTCCAGCTGGCAGACAGGGCGCGCAGCTGACGCCCAGAAGGGCAGAGACTAAGTGCCTTCTCTTTCCGAGGCCAGTGCGGCCCACATCCTCGGCTACAGAGCTCAGCCAAAGCACAGGGATTCACTGAAGACTTGGCGGGGTTGTCTCTGCTTGAGAGGCAGTTCCAGGGTGGGTCTGCACTGCCCCCTGGAGTGAACAGCCACCCACATGCACCCCTCCCCTTGGCTCTGGCCGTTTCAGGTGCTGCAGCACTGGCAAAGGACCCCAACAGTCAGGAAAAGACCACCCACCTCTAAAGTCCGGGATGTAAATACACATCGTGTTCACACAGCATCTAGTGGAGAACATGGCTCACAGTAGATGCTCAATAAAAATTAGCTTGTGCCCATTGTCCTCTGTTGCCCTCTGAGGGCTCCAGCCTATTAAGCCTACATTTGAAGCTTAAAAAATATTTTTATGTTGGCTGGGCAGTGGTGGCGCAGGTCTTTAATCCCAGCACTCGGGAGGCAGAGCCAGGTGGATCTCTGTGAGTTCAAGGCCAGCCTGGTCTACAGAGCGAGATCCAGGACAGGCACCAAAACTACACAGAGAAACCCTGTTTAGCTTATAATTATGTCTAAGCACCACATGTGTGCCTGGTGCTTGTGGCCAGCAGAGGGCATAGCAACCCCTGGAACGGGAGTTATAGATGGTTATGAGCCATCATAAGGGTGCTGGGAATCAAATCAAAGGTCCTCTGCCTTAAGCCCTGAACATCTCTCCAACCCACTCAAAAGTACTTTGACTCATGCTCTTCTGTTGTTTTTGAGACAGGATCTTACTATGTAACTGTGGCTATAGACCAGGCTGGCCCTGAATTCAGAGATCCTCCTATCTCTGCCTCCTAAGTGCACCACCATGCCTGGCCCTCGATGTCTATTTCTTTACATACATATTACTACGCAAGAACTACAAAACATCGTTCAGGGAACAGCATGCCTCTGGCTTGCCGCCCATTGCCGTGTTCTTTCCACTCTTTTAGATCACTTCTTAGACGTGGGCAAGTGCAAGGATACCCCCCCTTCTACCCCACAGACATACCACGCATCTTGCTTTTCCCACTGAGTTCTGGAGCTTTTTCACGGTTCATAGCGAACTTGCAATGGGTAAGCCACACTGTCGGTGCAGCTCTCAAATCACGTGTTTAACAGTTGCCTGGCACATATGTGGGTGTTTTCTCATTGCCAGGGCTGCAGTGAGTTCTGTTCCATGTGTTTTTGTGCACATTTACAAGCACATGAGTGAGGTCACTTCTGTGTGTCTGTTGAAGGTCCACCAGGCACTACACAGCAGTGTGATCAGAGGAGGTAGCTGGGTGGGCAAAGTGCTTGTCCTGCACATGTGTGGCCCTGAGTAAGGATCCCACAAACTCACATGAAGACGGATGTGGTAGCTGCACCTTTAACCGACTGTGAGAGGGAGGGAGGGACAAGAGACTCCCCAGGAGCTCAGCGGCTAACTAGGCTGGGGTGCACAGTGGCAAACAAGAAACCCTGCCTTAAAGAGGGTGGGAGGTGAAGCTGTTCTCTGACCTCCACGTATGCGCCGTGACGAGGCATGCCATGCCAGTGCCTGCTGCACTTACACACGTGAACACCTGTGTGCACATGCAGACAGAACCAGCGGCAGGTCATGGAATCCCTCCTCCCATGCACGGCGATTTTGCTGAAGGTCTTCCAGAAATGGTGCTCATCATCTCACACTGTCAGTTCATTCTATGCAGTGACGTTTGTCTTTTCACAGAGTTACAGCTTTCCTGTAACTTCAACACAGGGGCTGCTGCCCCTCCAGACCACACCCTCTTCCCCTGGAGAGGCTTACCGAGGCCCGCCTAGAAGACACCTCAGGGCCAGTCCTCAAAGTCTGGGTTGCCTGATCTAATTACAGAAGCCCCACAGCCGGGCAAAGAGCAGATACTCAATAAACCCTGCTCCCTTGCCTGCCTTTTCCTTTCTAGAACATCTGTAGGGAGAGGTGCTCAAGGCGGGAGACTTTTCCCCACATGGGGGATAATGGCCTGTGTTCCTGGGGTGGTGCCGGGTTGGGAAGATGGGGCATCTATGGCAGACTCCCCAAGGGCAAAGTCCAGTGCATTTCATCGCCTGAGAACGGCACACGGTAAATAAGTGAACAGATGTATGAACAGGCACTTTCTGTTACACTGGCCTAGCAATGAAAAGTTGTTTTCCAAGGCCATGGTCCACACCATGGGCAGAGAGAGCAAAACTGGGTGATGGTCCCGTGTGTTCTCATTCCTGATTTCCCACAGGGCCATTTGAGTGCTGCTGGTTCCCAGAAGCCCCCATGTGCCCGGAGGCCTGCACAAGCCAGTGTTTCTACAGCCTGCCCTGCGTTCCTATGCTAGTGGACACCCCCAGGAGGTTTGCCCAAACGTTTTACTGTTCTGTAAAGCTGCCACAGCCAGGTCAAGCGGAAGAGTCTAGTGTCCAGAGGAGCTGAAGGAACGTGCCAGTCTTCTGCTAGCTTGTGGCCCAGGACCCCTTCCGTGGCCGCTGGAACCTACAGAGGTGACATGGGTGGCTGGGAGGGGTTTCCGGGCAGCCCTGAGGGAGGGCTGTGGAGTCGCAGGCGGCTGCCCTCCCTGCCTCCACTCGCAGCCCAGAAGCAGCAGACCCTACACTCGGCAGCTCGGGTGTGCAAGGTGAGGCAAGCAGCAGGCAGACGCCACTCGCATGCACACAGCGCAGTTTAACCGAACGGGGCAAGCCGAGAAACATGCGTGTTCCCAGAAGTCTGCTTCGAGGGAAGGGAGGGAGGGAGGTGTGACAGGAGGGCATGGCTTTCTTTTTCTGCTGCTCAGATGAGTGACAGTTTTGGAGCGATGGCTAGTACTGCACTCCTCGTGAGCTGTAACTGAAAATGTGTGTCTGTGTTAAGATAAGGCCCTGGAAGCGATCACAGTGAATTCTTGTGTTAAAAAAGATTTTGAAGCCTGGCGGCGGCGGTAGCACACGCCTTTAATCCCAGCACTTAAGAGACAGAGGTGGGCAGATCTCTTGTGAGTTTGAGGCCAGCCTGGTCTACAGAGCGAGTTCCATGATAGCCAGGGCTGTTACACAGAGAAACCTCGTCTGAACAAAACAAAACAAAACAAAACAAAACAACAAAATGGAAACGATCCATCGGCAAGTGTTCAGGATGCTTCTGTTCGGGTGGCTCCCCTGCCAGGGCTGCATGAAACACACTCCCCACATGGCTGGGAGCAAACCCTGGTTATGATGCAGACCTCTGGGTAGAGCCCCCAGGATCCTGCCGCTGTCCATGGAGGTGGGCCCATCCAGTCATGGGGATGGTACTATGCTTTTCAAGTAACCACTGGAGTGGAAGGGAAACCCCAAGTTCTGAGGAGGGTGAGTGTGGCGTGTGCCAGGAAGTGTGTGAGGTGCAGGCAGTCCCTGGGCACCCTGGAGGGTCAGTGCACTCCTGCCCCTAGGCCTTCGGGAAACTCCCCTTTTGGGCGGAGGACAAGTTAGAAGCCACACTGTGTCCAGAGCTTCCATTTGGGACCAGGACAACAGCCACCAGTCAGGGGTGTGCCTAGACGCTGGGGCTTCATGGGGAGGAGAGGAACCGCCTTCCTCCTCCGCTTCTAAGTGTAAATATTAAAGGCCATGGTTCTGGAGAGTCTCAGAGTTGGCTACTGACATCCCCCAGCTCCTTCCTACTGCCCGGGGAGCATCCCCACACTCCTGGGATTCCCTGGAGTTGGGAAGCACACGCTAGCGTCCTTAGGTCTGTCCTACAGAGCAGGAGATGCCCCCCTCCCTCCTCCACCCCCCACTTACAAACTTACCCAGAAACCTGTCTGGCTCTGTTGCTTTAACAATTTTAATGCTGTGTCCCAGCGATGCCGAGAACCATCAAGGGAGAAGGCCTGTCTCAGGGCCTTTGGTCTCAGCCTGTGTCTTCCACAGAGCTGCTGTCTTGGTGACGCTCTGGCCTGGTGATAAGCAGTGACAACTACTACTCAGTGCTCTCACCAGGCTGGTCACTGAAACTTGAATCACATTTATATAAATGGAGGAAGCAGGGAGGGTGGTCCACACTGTGGCTTCTGGGTCCGTCTGGATCCTCTGGAGTGCCTTTCC